TGGCCTCCTCTTCCAGGACTTTCACTGCAAGAGAAGGCAGAGGTCAGGAGCCAACCACTGTGCGCATTTCTTTCTATAGGATTAGGACCGACAAGAGGCCGCCTCATCTCATTCGCAGCAATTTATGGAGGTCCACCTGTCCTCGCTGGCCAAGTCTCTGACATTCGAGACACTTATCCATGGTTATCAGAGCCAGAGTTTACTCAATGGAGCCTGAACTCTAGGCTTGCATGATGTTGAGTTCCCACAACAGGCGAGGCTCAAACGTTGTTGGCCAATTTGTGGTTCAGCATCTTAGGAGGACCCAGTGGTGGCCTTCTCTTCCCACCTCCTTTCCCTGAAGTTCTTCAGACTTCATGTAACACCAGCAGGAAAGCGTTCGGGAGGCCCTGTGCCTTTGACTGAGGGTGCTGCACCTGGAAGGACCTGGTCTAGCACAGGGGCAGTCCCTGGTCATCTGAAAGCAAAGAGGGAGTCCGGGGATGCTAGAGACCAGTGGCCTCTGCAGGAAGGGGGTCAAAAAAGTTAAGATTGTGGCCATAACAATGCATTTGAAAAGGGGCAGGGCTTTGATTTTGCAAGGCGGTGGCCAGCATCTTGACTTTTTTGACCTTCCTACAGTCCCACTTGCTAGAGACCAAATAGTGATCAGGTGAAAACCGATGGTGCCTTCTAAGCAGGAGCCAGGTCTGGACCAACCGCCCGCCACAGGCTTTAATGAACGAGGCAGTGCCTGCATCGAAAACCTCTGACCTTTTTGCTCCAGGGCTGCGCACTTCTCCTCTGCCCGGAGCAGTTGCTCTTCCAGGCAGGCCTTCCCTTCCTCTGCTGTGGTCAGGGCAGCCTGCAACTTGGCCAGCTCTTCTGGCGGTGGCCGTTCCACCAACTGGGCCTCCAGATCCTTCACCTGGAAGAGTAACCAGAGGACCAGCTGCTGAATCCCCGGGAGAAAATGTCCCCCGATTCCAGATCGCCCCGGGAGAGGAGGACAGAAGAGCCCCGTTGCTGCTATTGCTCAGAGCATCCGAGCCAGGGTTTGCCAGTGAAGATTCAGGCAGCTTGTAATCCATGGGGAGACCGCCGGAGGGTTCCCAGTTGGCCTTCAGCTCCCCTTGCAGCCCATTCTGAACACTGGCCATCCTGCTCCCCTCTCAGGGGCCTCTTCTGCCCACCGGGTGCTTTTCTGCTAAAGGCAAGAGCTACAGGAAGGAAGGTTTGGAAGGAAGGGGGAAGGAAGGAAGGAAGGAAGGAAGGAAGGAAGGAAGGAAGG